AAAAATTACAGTTGTTATCATTAGAGCGCTTAAGCTGAAGCTCCATAGCCGGTTTTTCAGGCGTTGAGGCTTGAGGCGCTCAAGTCTTAAATATGATTTAGTGCAATTGTATAGAAGCTGCTCTACAACCGAAGTGCGAAAAGCCTGAAAGAAGCCAACTATCGAACTTGTTTCAGACTTTGTAGGCTTTTCAGGCGTCGTCTGACAGTTAACACATTCGAACATTAGTACTGGTAAATATGATTATGGCAACATAAGGAAAAAGTATTAATTAAATGAAAATAAGTATGAAAATGTACTGGCTAAACAAAAATGAAATGGTAACACCCGATTTACATGATTCAAGTACTTGAAAGCAATTCTTGCTCATTCTCTTTTGTGTTTCTATTTGCTTTTACACGTTTCAATTCTGTTGAATTCAAGTTTTTAGTTCTTTAAATGGGAAGCAACGAAAATGCCAAAAACCAAAGCAAGAAAGTTGAAACGACTTGACGGTACAGATGCATGTGTACTCGTCCCCTTTCCACTCAATCCCTCTCTTCCACATGCGAGCAGAATTGAATTCAATACTTGAACTGTGTAAAAGCAGTCTAAAAAAGTATCACTTTTATCGAACTAGTATTTTTTAGTCGATATCTCATTTGTCAATTTGGAAACTCATTCCGATTTACTGCGAAATGTCAAAAGTTCGAAGAAACGTCAAGCGCGGAAACTTTTTTGTGGAGTTGCTCGCCTGACAAGCCTGTAAAGCCCATGATTGAATTATTAAAGGTTTTGTAAGTAGCTTTTTTCTAAAACTTGACACTCCGCCCACAGGGATGGTTTAAGGAAGCAGGAGTAAAGGGGGAAGAACTCAATCACACTTCCTAAAATGGGAGATAAATTCCATAAAAAGGTATGGATAATAGTGAATGGTGGTATTTTAAAACAAAAACGAATTTGATTTAGTTATTTAATTTAAACAAGCTTATTTAAATCGAATATAACCTCTGATTGTTATAAAAATAAATATTTCGATGTATAAACCAAACTTGCTTTATGTTTGTGAAAAACTTATGTAACATTTATAAAAAAAAAAATAAAAAATTTGGAGCTTACTTTGCTTTCGCCCGCCCTTTTTCCTGATTTCAAGGGTATATAAAATGTTTTGTGCAAATGATTAATATAAAAATTACTTGACGATACTAATTTCATAAAAATCGGTTAAGTATTTTGGGAAATAAGTGCATTTTAAAGTTCGAATTTTCCACCTTTCCCCCTCTACGACCAATAATATTAATTTGCACAAGAAACCATTAAAATTAGGAAAAACGCCACTAATTCTTTTTTTCCGGGGGTCGCTATTCTACACTTATATTTGTGTAAAACGTAATAATAATACATTTTTACTATATCATGTTATTCACTAGCTAAGTTCTAAAAGCGTTTCACTCCTTGCACTTGTAATGCAGCCCCTAGTTGAGGTCAACTTCCAAAACCTATTAACCAAGAAAAAACACTTTTACTGACCATTTTAAAAACAACTTGGCCACTTAAATAAACTCACCTGGAATTTGCAGCCAATAACCCCACTTGTGTTGTAGCTTCACGCTGAGGTAAAAGACACAGAATTCACAAATATGTGGAAGTAAATTTAATTAGTTTTTATTTGCCAATTTGCAATACATATTTAAAATTTGTTACCTAAATTTGAATCCACAATCCAACTTCCAAGAGATCACAATCCGCAGTTAAAAGGTGTTTAAATATAAGCACAAATCACAAGTTTCGCTAAAAATATTAATTTCAGAAGTCACAACTAAAGAGAAATGTCAAAAACAGTGATGTTCACTCTTACTTTTTCAGAAAAGGAGGTTTTCTAGAGTAGTTTTTCTCCAAGAGGGCATCATTCAAAACGGGACTACGGAATTTGTCAAAATTACAACAAACACCCCTTAACTGACATCACCTTATTTTTATTTCACCATGAGCGCGAGCAACATGAATATCGGGCCAATAAATCGATGTTGTCCAAATATCGGGAAGCAAAAATCGATGTTTTGAGCACTCGATTTTGTCTCCAAATATCGAAAATTTCCAAAAATCGATGCCTATGCCGCAGGCTGATGATTCCATAATAAAAGGTTACACGATCAAGAACTTCCTATCAAGTTGTAACACACTCACACTTTTTACTAACAAACTCACTTTAACAACTTGAACGTCGACTTTATATCAATTTTATCTTTCAGGGCCATTTACAAACGACTTTTCCTTCGTTTTGCTTCAGAATTCCGCTTTCTTAAGAATTTTTAACCGAGCCCAGTGTTGAAACGATCTCTACCTCTTCTTCCATGTTGTTGCATAAATTTCATAGCTGCACCGATTACGAGTTAATTTTTATATGTATATCTTTAGTATGGAAAGGACGTAACCTACAGCGTCGCTGAAATGCAAAAAAGCCACAACTAACTAAAATTTTGCATTGCATAAAACGATTTGGGGACTAATAATTCGACGAAATGCATAACAATCAACTAGAAAGAGAATTTTGGATTCTTAGTTGTGGGTTTTTGTATTTTAGCGACGATACGCGCTTTCCATACTTAACTACCGACATGTAAATTCAAAACTGTAAAGCCATTTTCCTCGAGTTTTGCTTTTTTCAAGTTATAACACTATTGAAGTAAATTGAGCGATATGTTTATTAAGCATTATCCCGCTTTTTTTAACAGTTCACTTTTCAAAATATAAAAGTAGTTTGACGGGATTTCCAAAACCTCCAATTCTAATCCTAGCTTAAAATTTACAGGAAGAATAAATTGTTCTTTTTCAATATTTTCAAATATGTATGTATGTACTTCCATTTTTAATACTCTATGAATAATACATCATATTTCTATTATATTTAACATGTTCAAAATACTCATGATTTAATAATAAATTAATTAACTATTGAATCATGGAAAATACTGTTATTTTTTGCAAAAACAACAAATAATCGAAATAGGTTGACATTCACAGGAAAAGCTAAAAAAGTTTTAAACAATAAATTCTTTCAATTAAAAATGTGTAGTTTTAAATATGAAATTATTTCAAATAAAAATAGGTAATTTTAATAATTCATTAATAATTAGCGCATTTTATAATGTATATAAACAGCAAAACAAAAAATACTTTCAGGACAAGATAAAGGATATCGAAATTCACAAGACAAAAAACTCGAATACTTAATATACTTTAAATCGAGAAATCCTTTAAATAAAATGAATGAATGAAAAAATTGGTATGTAAAACATTAAGGCGAATTCACATTGGCAAACACCGAAAATATGTATGTATATACATACTATGTCAGCATTCCCAGGAGTCGATCGAATGCTCGCAAAGGTTTCATAAAATGAATTTTTTTCAAAATTTACGATTAAATCTATCACAAAAATATCTATCCGAGGGCAGTAAGACCAGCTGAGGGACAATTTAATAAAAATCAAAGTAATCTAAATCCATAGAAAAGCTGTCATCCTTACTAGGATGCTTATCCAGGTACTCCTCTGTACCGATTGCCGCCAACCTTTTCACACCACGCATGTGCTTCGAGGCACCAGCTTCCTTACGGGCATCAGCCTATTAAAATAACGTTATATTAGATGAGTAATCTTTAAATTAGAACAGACCCAGATTTTACCCATTTTATGTCAATTGAACTTTCTGTGAGAAGCTTATCTAATTTTTCAAATTGTTTTCGGTTTTGTA